TGATTCCAATATTACTGGTTCGCTTATGGTTTATGACAATCTTTATTTGCTTGATACTGTTGCTTCTTATAATGAAACTCTGAATGTGGAATCACGTGGTACTAAGCGTAAAATTGAAAATGAAAATTCAGGAGCATTATGGCACAAGCGTTTAGGTCACATCTCTAGAAATAGAGTTGAAAGACTTGTATCAGATGGAATTCTAAGTTCCATTGATTTTACAGACTTTAATGTTTGTATTGACTGCATTAAAGGAAAACAGGCCAAAATAAAGAAATTAGGAGCATATAGAGCTACAGACGTCTTAAAATTGATACATACAGATATTTGTGGGTCATTTTCTATACCTTCTTGGAATGGTCAACAATACTTTGTATCATTCATAGATGATTATTCAAGATATGCATACCTATTTCTTATTCATGAGAAGTCCCAAGTATTGGATGTGTTCAAATCTTATAAGGCTGAAGTTGAAAACCAACTAAGCAAAACAATAAAGCAAGTAAAATCTGATCGTAGTGGTGAATACTATGGCAGATATGACGGTTCAGGTGAACAACATCCGAGACCATTTGCCAGATTCCTAGAGAAGTGTGGAATTGTCCCTCACTACACAATGCTGGGGTCACCTAGCATGAATGGTGTAGCTGAAAGATAAAATCGCACTCTTAAAGACATGGTAAGAAGTATGATCAGTCATTCAACCTTACTAGAATCAGTCTGGGGAGAAGCGCTTAAGACAACGGCCTACATTTTAAATAGAGTACCAACTAAAGTAGCTGCAAAAACACCTTATGAGCTTTGGACAGGACGAAAACCTAGTTTGAAGCATTTTCATGTTTGGGGTTGCCCAGCTGAGGCAAGGCCTTACAAGCCACATGAGAAAAAGTTAGACCCTAAAACAGTGAGCAGCTATTTTGTTGGTTATTCGGAGCAATCTAGGGGTTACAAGTTTTATGATCCCAAATTAAAGATAATATTTGAGACGGGAACTGCAATGTTCTTTGAGGATATTGAATTTGGGGGGATAAATTAGGTTAGAGACTTTGTCTTTAAGGAGGAGTCAAACCATACTACTCTTGTTGAAGAGGAATTGGTTCCTATTCCTATAATTGCTTTTGATAATGATCAGGATTTCACTCCTGTCATTGATCAAATTGTGAATCCAAAACAAGACATTGTTAATCAACCCCTTGAGGAACAAATTCAACAACCTCAAGAACAAGATCAAGAACAAATGCTTTAGCGTCAATCCACTAGGGAAAGCTTGTCAGATTTG